CTAGACAATTTCATTGATAAAGTGATTAATCCCGCTGGCTATACAGCCTCCACACCATGGGATAACAAAGCATGAAGGCCACACAGGCGCGCAGTATCTGCACAGACAATGGGAGAAGGGCATTCCCCCATTCTCCCCTCTATGCATACGCCTCAAAGGAATGACACTTTTACGTTCGTAAAATTTGACAAACCGTGATTCACAGGCAGGCAGCAAGCCGTTCAGTTGCCTACCACAACCACCAGACTAGTCGAAACACGCTAATTCTAAAGCCTAGCAATTAACAGTGGATAAAATGTTTTACCAAAGCATACGTAGAGATTAAGGAGCAGTCATTCGAATGCCATGTTTGAATGATTTCAAACAGTTAAAATATGGAATCAAGATAACTCCAGCTTATCAATCCGAAAGCTGTACCCACGAATCTGTATGCACAGCCTCCTGTTGAACGCACTTCAACAGATCTCATGGCCAAATTTCATTCAACCTCAGCGGCAGCGGTGGTGACAAGAATTCTCTCTGTGACATCCAATGTGCAAAGACGTTTACCTTCGAGTTCGCTTTTACCAACTTCATGTCAAAGACTGCACAAATTTACTGAAGCACTAATTCATGCTGCTTCCAAATTTTACCATGACATTCACAATGTAATCACTGCCTAAACCTCATCCGCAAATAAGTTTGTCCAACTCTCGAATTTGCCATATGCTGCAAGAAGACTGTTATTTTTATCATCTGCTAAATAAAATGTAGTAAAAACGACGCTCAAATCTGCAGAATTCGCCAATAAGACAAAAAGGAGCGGATCGAGATCGTTTATTAGCTGGCATTAGTGCACATCTCTCGTTCGAATCTGTTGACACGCCCTTTACTTTCTTTTGCAATGTCTTAATAAATGATCTGGTCATTAGATTGAAAGACTTTACTGGTTAAGAATGAGTTTTGACCCAACAAAATACTTTTGCATTATAAAAGGAGAAGTGATGCCTTAATTATGGCAAAATAATGTGTGCGACAACTAACCAGTACTTGAAGCATTCCGTGGTGAAGGAGATTGACAAAAACATAAAACAAAATTTGGACGTGCCTTGAGTAACGAAGTTATACCTCACCTCACTTATTTGGATGCGCACATCAAAAGTAGCCGATTATCAGATTCAATTAACACTTTAAATGCAAATATTATTCCTTTGTTGGCCTTCTTTATTCCTCTCCGCCGTTTTCTTCCCTTCCAAAAAGAAATGCAGTCGTGCATATCCTGCATAAAAAGGCAAATATTTGTGACTACGGCCCTAACTGCTCATCTTAAATCGAACATGGTCATGTCAATAGCATGATTAGTAAAAACTTCACCACATTTCGCATTCGACTACAGCATGCGGTCAATTTGGTCAGATGGGGAGGGTAACATGTAAAGGTAGATAGGCAGCCCTAGGCGCTTTAAATTTGCAAGTAAATGGGTCCACACTGCTAGTTCTGTCCGGTCCACCGACTCACAGATGCAGTGCTCAAACTTAGAACACCTACATTAGGAGGACAGGTTGCCTCTCCTTCCTTGTCGTAGCGCGGTTTAAAATATGGGTCTCTTTAATAAAAAACGGTGTCTTGCACAAAGATGGTACACAGATAGGTAGAAATTATGCAAACGCATACGTGAGCAAAAAAGAAGATAGATGGGTAGATGGATATCAAGAATTTTCATTGCAAGTAGGTATAAGCCAAATATTTTCGACTAATGTGCTTGATTCAGCACAATTTGTATATTTAAAACAACACGAAGAAATAATTTTCGTGAAAAATGCACAATCATTCTAATATAACACATGCAATTTTACTTTTGCAATATTACACACTTAAGGCAATTTTCTGTTTTAAATAACGCTGTTCAAAAATTATAATTTTGTATTTTTTTAAACCATAAAATATACTCTTGGTTGTTTGACCACATAGTCAAGCCATATCCAAATGCCACCACGCAATGTGTAAAGTTGTGTTCTGATAAGCATATTTTACAATTGTGGTGTGCAATAGGGGATGTTTTTGTAACATGCCAAGGATGTAGGCGATTAAGAGGAGTCGATCGCGGTCTTTGCCTTTTTTATTTCGTCTAGACAGCCTGCGTATAAGGGATATAGTGCTTCCACGATTAAAAGACGTTTTCTTCACTTGACGAATATGTTTGTTGAACGAGGGGAATAACTGAATGTGATCAGTTGCCATGAGTCCACATTAATTGCATTTGACTTACCTCTGCTGGGAGCAGAAGCTGCTGGCAACTTTGCTGAGTTTGTCGAAGGAGTCTGTTTTAACCTGAAGTCTTCATTACTTGGACTTGCAGGAGAATAGAA